GAAGTGTTGATAATTTCAGGCAGCTGAACGACGAAAACAGCTTGAAAACTCTTACCGCTTACAACAATTCGATCGTGACTGCGACGAAATGCTTGGATGGATCACCGAAAAGCTGAAGACGGCGAGAGATGATTCTTATTTGGATCCCACCAACATCAGGCAAGTGCTCCAAAATACTTCGTTTCCCAAATTTAAAGTATTCTCATTGAGCGGTGGTCATTCGCTCTATGAATAGAATTGGCTGTGGTTGGTCTGACAGGTTTTGCTGTTTCACCCGTGATGGTCAGCAGTCTTTAACCCATGGTGGTCAGTAAATAGCCTTTTTTGGTTTTTCTTGAAAAATGTTGGGTGTAATACATATTTTGTTAGCCATTTGGAAGATTCTGTGGTTTCGTTGTTAATTCTACGTTGTTGCATATTAGTTATAACTCGCAGACTGAAAGAAAGCTCGGAATTAATAGTATGTGATTTCTTCAAACTTGGCAGATGTAGGGGAAAGGTTTGGTGCCGATGACCATTTATTGTATGATTCTAAAAAATCTCTGCGGTGTTGTTTTGAACATCTGAAATAGAAGAATAGAAGAATTTCACTTGAATCTGAAAACGAAGTTTTGGCTTTTTCTTTATTCATTTACTGTGAGAATTTCTGTTCAGAGGGAAACTGCAGAAGCATCTCAACTACGAGCAGGAACTGCGAGCGAACAAGAACCGCCTTGATGAAATTAACGCAACCGGAAGTGCGCTGGTGGAGGAGAATCATTACGCAGCACCACATATACGGGAACGACTGGGTGAAGTGAACGGAATGTGGGATGAATTAGTGGACGCAACCGCAAAGAAGGGAGCCAAACTGAAGGAAGCCGGCGATCAGCAACTCTTCAACAGGTTATTTTTTATGACCGTGTAAAATACAGCAACTTTTGATGGCACCGAAATCTTTCGAGGAAATTCAGCGAACTCGCGATCCGACTGCTTTTTGAGTACCTTTACCCAATGTAGTTGTTAATTCTGGTCTTGCCACACAGATTCAGAACTACTCCATAAAAATTTCAGTGCATCGGTTTGCTATTGGGAGCATGCATCTGCATTTTTATTTCAAAACATTTGCATTTTTAAGAAAAGAAATTCCAATTATTAGGTATCAGAAGGGCACCGTGGAAGTTTCACGTTTTTGTAGTGTTCTTCTACTACCTTAATTTAAATTTAGATATTTTAATATTTAGATGTTTTTTTTTAAATTTAGATATTTAGGTA